TTAGTTCAACTTTTGTTCTGAAAATAATGCTTCAGTCGTTTATCATCAAAATGCTCCTTCCCTCCCCCTTCCACCCCCTAACACCGGAAAAAATAAAATCTACTCTGTTTTGTCTTTGCCGAAACAATATCAATTTTAAAAAGGTATTTTGGCAGTGCTCCAACGTGGGTAATATATACTCCCTATCTAATTATCTGCTGTATAGAGTCAATGGAGTATCCATATTTAACTCTACGTTAAAACAACTGCATTGTATCAACACGACATGTGTGACATCACATCCGAATTGACAGGATAGCACGTGCGCAAGTACCTTATTTTTTTAATGGTGAGATTATCGACTAAATGGAGGTTAACGATCGACCATAACTCTTTGATCCTTCATTACAGCGGTATGTGTACATATAAGGTTACATATACGTGCGTAGATAGACTCTCTCGGGGAAACACTTTGGATCATTAACGGCAGACGATAGGACGCAGAGTGCCAAAAGGTTGGTGAACGTTGACGTCCCACGTTTTATGTACATGTGTACTCAATCTTCATCATTTATTACAGAAATAATTTACCTGCAGTGACGTGTAAAAAGGACAACTCTGTATCACATTTTGGCATTATTTTGATTTCAAGGATAAATTTTGCCACATAACTGATAAGTTGAAATATGAATGAAGAATGCGGTATTGCGTGGCAAATTTGTAGAATCGTCTGATAAGTTTGGTTTGGTTTGGTTGTGTTTTGCGTCCTTTTTATAACTATTGTCAATTAAGGACGTGCCAGGTTTTGGTGGTGGGGATAGCCGGTGTGCATGTACCCGAAGAAAAACCACCGACCTACGGACAGTCCATTGCGACTGCCCAACATAGGCCTCGAACCTTCCATAGACAGCCAGACGCCATTGAAATGTGAAACACTTTATGGAAAAACATATTCATCTTGCATGTCTATTCTCCATCCTCCACTTAAGTGTGTCACTTGCATATATACGGGAATACAGTTTATATCGTTTTTCATCAAATCAGAAATGAAGGCTTTATTCTACAAAGTATATGAAACATACTAGCACGACGTACGGACGTACAGAAATAATCCCATCCACTCAAAAGAAACAACGTCGTTGTAACCAGTGTTTCGTGCAAATTGCTTGCCATAAAAATCACTAGCTCTCCAATATTACAAGTAGAATATGACGTCAAATGACCGGAAGTCACATCCCATTGCATTCATTGTGTATGAACACAATGGATTTTGGCAGTTCATAGAACTTTAACACTATGGGAATTACTGCAAACCAGTGTTAGTAACATCGGTTTAACATGGTTGAACAAATTAAAACCACTGCCACGATCCGGAAATAAAATAAAGTAGGAACCTTCAAGTATTCTATTTAGCTTTACATTTCGAGTTCGAGTGAAATTTCGGCGTACAAACTAAAACAATTAACTAATTATATTCTAATAAGTCAAAACAATTCATGAAGATATTTATCGTTTGTGCGTTTCAGACAACCTTCTTAATTTTAGCCGATCTATCATATTTGCAAAATCGAAATATGCTTCTATTTTATCCTCCTAGGTTGCAACAGTATTGGTTCTAAATGCACTTAGTTATATTTTAAATGCATTACTGTCTCCCAAGGATTATTGCTCCTTCCCCCCGTTGGATAGATTTTTGGGTAGGTTGGGTTGGCCTACAATACATATGATGTGTGCACATTTTGGCTGTGAGTAAATTCTTAAACAATATAATCATGCAGTTTTCTTCCTCAGATTAACGTATTGATAGAACAATTTCAAAGCCATACGGCAAAATCGTTCGACGTCATTTTGTCTGACGTAGTCATTGTAGCCGGCACATGTAGATTTGTCATGCTTTTCTATATCATACCACCACACCATAATCTTAAACATGCACAACGAATGTTACCTCGTTATATCGCATATCAAAAATAACGCATCCAATCATTTAAACTTTTTTGTCAACAGTTAGACAAGCTAACGAATCAAACGCATTACTGATCCAGATCAAGGTGTGATGCAAATATGACACAAACATAGACGACAGGCTCTTTCGTCATTTTTTATTTTCAGTGAGACTCTTTTCCCAATATTTGTTTGTAAGAAGAAGATGAAAAAAAATGTACAGATACGGTGTAATAGCCTCCTCCTTCTTTATCGTTTTATCGTTTAAGGAATAAAAATAAAGAACAAATGTCACTCTAAGTCCTAACATTTCAGCCTCCTGAACTATATTTGTATCTGTTTTCCCTTGTTTATTATGTTTAAGGAATATTTGTTTAATTTGGCGAGGTTGTGTATTTACCGTGTTTTTCTGTGAATAGTTCATAATCGTTCGGTACATAAAGACTGATCAACGGATTCAAATTTCACTTTCAAAACATATCAACGTGTACTCCGTTCAATAACAATAACAGCCTGCAATTCGCAAAAACATTGGTGAATCCCGCCCACATCTACTCTTGATGACGTCACACACTTCCTTCGCCCTCAAGGTTGTCGAGGTTAAGGTTATGTGATGTTAATTCTGGTTTACGGGAACAAGGGTTGTTGATTGAATGTCAAAGAAGGCTATAGATATTAAGCGAATTATTATCTACACTTGAAATAGTAAACGGCGTTACCGTTACCGTGGGACTCCATATTGTTAATTCATAAAGCATGGTGACATTACAGGTGTAAGAGCGATGCTATTAAGGATGAAATATATTTGTCTGTAATGACTCCATCAAATCCAGTTCCCGTATGTTGTTCTGTGTCTAATAGCCTTCTGCAGTTAATTGTTTTCTCGAAAAAAATCTCATAATGTGACAGAACTGAACAACAATTATGTTACATCAATTAAAAACGTCGTTCCATTTTATCTGACATTACAAAGCGTATTGCTCAGCATTTAAATATGGGCATAATTGAACATATAAAATTCAATTACTACGCCCTATTGAGATTTCAAAAAACGAAAATAACTTATATGAATATAACAGTCTATAATTTACGAAGTCATAATAAAAATCAAAGACATAACCGTGTCAATGCAGTACAGCAATGTCAATTTAATAGTCCAGATTTAATAGTGTAAATCCGGCAGACCTGACGTCCATTGCAGCCCCGCAGTTGATGAGAAAGAGGTTATGTGTATTACTGTGAATTTTATGGTAATTAACACTGTTTTTCAATTAGAAAACTAATTTGCTTACGTCAAAGTCAAAGTACGAGTATCAAAGGACAACCAATGGACTCATATCGCTAACATTGCTAATATCGCTAGATTCTGGTTCTATTTTCACTCGGGCACACCGACAGTCGACTAGACCTCATTACGTCACTTCCAGTTGAGAATACGTCAAATAAATCCAGACAGGTATGGGCTTTCAAGCGTCCTACTTTGTTGAGTCCATATCATCGGGGTGGTCTGACCTGTATCTCATGTAGAGCAAACGTATCAGAAGCACTGATTACCGGAACTAGTACGAAGGCTCAAATGGGTGGACCGGGTAACTCGTGACATCAAACGGAGACAGAAATAAACACTAGATGTCGTTCATCAACGGTGTGCTAATTGAAATGTCTGACCTATAATAGTTGCGTGACAAAGCGCGCATCATAGAAAGTTATCAGCTGAATTACGTCAAAGATGATGGTTACACAACCAATAAACATCACCCCTCGGGTTGGAGATTTATCTATCACACCCTCAAGGTAGGGGAAAATTCTATTACTCTCTGCTAATACAGAAAATAACTTTTTATTTATGCATGATAGATTTAATTGTTATCCTGATTCTACACGACTTAATCTCTAGTAAGAGACGTTAGCCATGGAAATATATAGGATAACTGAGAATTAAGGAAACAGCCTCTGAAGGAAGAGTATGTGCATTGGGAAATCATGAGTGATTGAAAAACTAGAAATGAGGGAGGGATTTCCTAAACTTCCCATAATGATATCTCATTGCTTAATGGGCTCTTGTTGTGATCCATTCCCAGCAAATTAAATACTGGTGATGAGCGTAAACCTTTGTCCCAGGTTATGGACACATGCTAACGTATGGCAATGCGAGTACAGCCAGACCTATATCAAGAAGCCACTCATTGGAAATTCGAAAGGTGGTCCTTTTAATGCATGTGGTCTCTTAGTAAAGGTTCAAATGTCTGGACCGGGTAACTCGTGACATCAAACGGAGACAGAAATAAACACTAGCTATATATAGATGTCGTTCATCAACGGTGTGCTAATTGAATTGTCTGACCTATTATAGTTGCGTGACAAAGCGCGCATCATAGAAAGTTATCAGCTGAATTATGTCAGAGGTGATGGTTAGACAACCAATAAACATCACCCCTCGGGTTGGAGATTTCTCTATCACACCCTCAAGGTAAGGTGGTCCTTTTAATGCACGTGGTCTCTTAGTAAAGGTTCAACACAATGAAAATTACTTCCACAGTAAACACTGAACGTTTGCCTGTTAACAGAGGTAGTCTCTATCAAATTAGAGATGGTCGCATAATTAGCAGATTTGACTGTACACAGAAATGTCGATAACAAGCTATAAACGGTGGTTAGTACTGAATGTATAATTATTAAAGAAATTTCCGTTAATCAATTAATTGATATAGATATAGCGGTAAAAAAATGTTAAACGTACGTGTGATAGTAGAAATATAAATAAAACAAAACACCGAAGACTAAATCTCGCTACTTATTGTACTTTCGCCCATCTTGGAGCTCTTCGGGCGATTACTGAAGAGCCCCGGGCCCATGATGGACGAAAGAACTAGTGAGATTAAGTCTTGGGTGTTCTGTTTTACAAATAGTTTCATATATATTGGAAAAGGGGATGGCCGTATTTGCTGACATGTTTCCACATATAAGTTAACTCGTATACTCTTTAAGTCTTATACACGTTGTCAGACACACTGCTGGTGGAAAGAAATTCACCCATTGATTTGACATCACTGCACTGACGTCGGTTCAACTCTTACCTTCTCTGTAACCGATAGTCCATTGATCAAGAGCCTCCTTCACCCTGACTGGAATATCAGCATCATCCACAGGATTGATAATATTGAACACACTTAGACTCCACCTTCGTGTATAACACTGTTTGGTTGATTTCCTTTCATAACCCAATAACTACATTCTGGGTGCAGTTCTCTTAAAGAAGAACTGGTTTATCAGATCGTGTCTTATGAAATCAACACAATCTTTATATTGCAATTAACGTTTTAAGAAAGCGGGGTAGCTGGTGTATTGGAGAACAACCTTAGGCATATAATTGCTATGCAGTAGTATGTATACAATTTATAAAATATCCCCGGCCCTTTAAGCCTCTGGATATAAAAGAAGCCCGCCACCAATGGTACCATTGTACATATTGTAATGTTAGATGTAATTATGGCGGTGAAAGCTACCTTTGGGGCCAATTAACTAGCGCCGCGGTTATGACACACAGTTCTGATAGTGTGGTTGTTAGGAGGTATGGAGTGTACCAAGCGTCGTCTTTACACAACACGTACGATAAATGTTTAGAATTGTAAAATCTGTTTTATGTTCCTACGGATGTACTTAACTGACCAGACCTAATGAAAAGGAGAAGAAATATTGGTATGGATTTTAAATGCCATTCTGTAAATTAAATATATAAAATTGACAAAAGAATAGAGTGGGGAATTATTAAATCACGATAATTAACCGTACGAACAAAACTACAATTATGCTGTTAAAGAACAGATGATTTCTTCCTCGAAAAATATATTTGTATGATTCCGTTTGAAATCGGATATTTAATATTTCTACTTTAATATTTGTTTTTATTTAATAGACATAAACTTAGTCTAGTCGTTTATATAAAAAAGGTTTCACTGCGAGTCATCTAACAGGAACGAGTTTTTATGTTGTTTATTTTTGTGCTTATTTACTTGATTATTGTGTCTCTATTTACTTGCTTCATTATTTATTAAGGTCATAGGAGTGTATTGATAAACGGAAAAAGGAAGTACATCCCTCGTTGAAAATCCAATGTAGGGAGACAGTATCAGCATTTTTTATATTGATATACATTAATGCAATACTAATCTATGGCAGTATCATTTTTATTGACATTATTTTGCAAAAATTTGTGTCTTTCATGTTTTTTTCAAAAGTCACTCCTTTTACATAAATTTTCCATTTATAATCCTTAAAAATATGACAACCTATATTTTTTGGGGGCAGAAAATGTTCTTTACTTCAAAGCAATATAACTACAAAATTTGAAGAAATTCTACTGAGAAATGGAGACACAATCCTATTAACTTAAGTAATTTATAATTTACTATGAGCTACAAGACTTCGATAAACATCCTAGACAAGGGGTTTTAGCTTGTAGAACTTTTTTCTACTTCAAGTTGATACCGTTGTCGAGACATCAGCATCATGATTCAACCGCGTAGGAATTTGCTCAAGACGATAAGTTTGCTAATAAAATATGCAAAAGTCTTCATTAGCTTCGTTAACAGCTCCATACCCTAATTATATAATAATTTATTGTTTTGATATAAGTCGAATTTATTCAGTTCGGAGTATTCGTAAAACATCCATTATAGAACTACATTGCGAATGAATGTGTGTAATAGAGGTGTGAAAAGTCAAACGGCGCCAATCTTTAAACCTAAACATTCCATACATCAGGATTTCAACCAATCAACGGGACAGAATGTGTCATGTGACAGTGGTTGGCATGAGAGTTGATGAACAGGAGCAGATATATTATGGCACTAGGTTTCCTTGGAAAAACCCTCAGCATGTAACCGTAGTCAACATACCATACGGTATTATGTTCAGCTGACAAGAGATGAGTGAGTGTTCGTTTTAGGATTTTGTATTTGTATATTTCATATGAAAACCATGTTGACAGAAAATGGTTCCTCCGGATTAAAGGAAACGTGGATAAAGAAGTATCAAGCGTCTGTAGATTCTATAATGCGTTTTTGTACTATCTGTTTCACTTAGTATGGTCCGTCAAAAATCTGACTCTGTGGCACTCCTCATTTAGATGTTTTTTGTTCAACAGTTCGTTTTCGTCTACAACGCTTAATACAGTTTTATAGTTTAAAACAAAATGGGGTTTGCACTGTTGCAGAAATATAATCGCCCAATCTTTACTTTCTGGTTCTTTCCATCTCAATGATGTCGCATCTTCTCTCCTTCTGTTTTGGTGTCTTAGTTCTTCCTGTTGCTGTGTTTTTCTATCAATTTTAATTTCCGATTTTATCCGTGTATGTTTACGCTGTGAGGAATGTCTTTCGTCTAATTAACTTGTAATGGTATAAAACCCTCGCCTTTATACATTAGTAAAGAACTTTCCTTTCAATGTAATAGATATCTGATTTTTGTGTGTTTCCGGGAATACTCAGCAAGTTGGGTTAAATTAATTATAACATATTATGGAAGATATCGAATTCGTGCAACTCTAAAAAAACAGGAAGAAAAACAAATTATATACGACCGGCTTTAACCCCTTAATCACAACACAGAATTCATTACGCCGTGTTTATCGCAATGGTGAGCCTTGTCGAGACTAATTGTACACTAATTTGCCCATTGAAGTATATTGAAGTATCTGTAAAATACCTCTAGCATATTCCGGAATCCTGTAATTAATCATATATAAATGTGCTAAATTCAATAATGGCTAATATCTTCATCCATTACCGGAACCACGTTATATTAAGCTTCGCTGGCCAATAGATTCACGTTAAACTGACATTTTGATAGTTTTAATTATTAAAAAAAAAAAAAAGTTGTTATTGTAATAGCGATGTTTAATTGTTCTCATGCTAAACAGATACAGTTTATTTTGGTTTTTAATAACTTAGAATATTTCCAAATTGATTTTGCAGGTTTTATAAGCTAACATAGCTTAGTACAACTGCAGTCAGATTCCGAGATTGCCCTGGGGTCATTTAAAGTGGTAACGAGGGTCGTGACCGAACCCAGCTGCACCGGATACGGAACTAGAAACGAGGCTTGAGGAAATAGGTTCTGTCAGATTCACGTGTTATACACATACATACATAGCTCACTTAGGTTAGTTAAAAGGTTTTGTAACATTCCTCAATAGGAAAGAAACATGGACACTTGGTTGACATGTACAGTAGCTACAATTCATCTCCAAGTGATGTTTGATATAGCTCCTAAAGATTAAAAGGAATGATAACATATTCATTCAATACTAGTTTCTGATGTATTTTCTTGTGAAAATTGCATACCGCCTTTTGATTGAAGAATATTTTACCAGGGATAGGCATGTTGTTACATAAATGGGATGAAGTCAAGCTCTATGACAGGAGGTTAGTTTCGTACTTTATATTTGTAAGAAGTAAGAAGTAATGATATGTTAGTATAGTTTTGATAATTTAGGTAATGCTAAAAAGCTTTTCAACATTTATTACAAAGTATTTTCATTCATTTACAGCGAGTAAGAGCAAAATCCAACAAATTAATGCGATGCTATAGTAACACGTGAGGTAACTCAACGCTGGTAGGTTTTTAGGAACACTTGCTACAACAGAAAATCTGCACATGTCTTTCCATGTGTGTTATTGTGTTGTGTCAGGTGTGTTTCTTTACTTCCCAATCTTGTTTGGGCTTTATGTTATGTAGCTGAGATGTAATACAAATATCTTGTTTTGTGTTCGACTGTTTAAACTATGGAATATTATGAGTATTTTGCGATATATGAGATATTCAGGGATTATAACTAATGTTGAGAAAAAGTGTTAGTATTGTGAAAAGTTGGTCAGCAATTATATATGTGTACTTTCGACCTTATTGATCTGACGTTTCAAAGTGTGTAGTCTCTACTGTACAGTACTAACCTTGACCGTACGCGGAATTGTGACCATGGGGAACTGTGATTTCTGTATATATATTTTTTTTTTTTTTTTTTTTTTTTTTTTAATTCCAGACAATAATAAACATGAGGAACTGTAAGGGGATGAATTACATCAGCTACGTTCCTTTACGTACAGTATAACATTATAATATTATTCAGACTGATATCTATTGAAAGTTGATTCATACATTTCTTAATTAGAAATTGGAATTTCATAGCGATTTTGAGATTTTAAAAGTTATGAAATAGACTGATTTGTACGATGGCCGACAAGAGCCTGACAAAAAGATATGAACTTTCATATCTTTTTGTACCACGGTACACTTTGATATGGTACACAAAGATATGAAAATTCAAATCTTTGTGTACCAGGTAAAAGTGTACCATGGTACATAAAGATTAAAAACAACTTTACAAAAACACTCTTTACTTTCACATGTATATGTACCAGCAGCCGATATCAGCCGGCACTTTTTTCATTTCTTTTTGTACCACCTATGGTACAAATAGATATGAAAAAGGTGTGCCCTGAAATCACGCATTACACTTTTTTCATATCTTTCTGTACCGTGGTACACTTTTGTGCGGTACAAAAAGATATGAAAGCTTCTCTCCTTTTAGTACCGCGTTACACTTTTTTCATTTCTTTTTGTACCACCTACGTTACAAAAAGATATGAAAAAAAGTGTACCACCAGAGCATCGGAATGTTGTTATCGGGCGCTATGACCAGAACTGACCCCGAATAGTGAAGCCCTAATTACAACGTCGAAACAAGTCGTGAAGTTCATTTATCACTTCTGATGAAAAAACAGGGTTAGTTGCAATTGTGTAAGTATAGGGGCCTTGACAGGGTCTCCAAAAGGGAAAAAGGACATCTGAATAAGTAATTTAATTGATTGTCCCCTTTTTTTCCCTTGTCCCATACGGACCCGTCGGCGTTTTCAACTGATTTGGAGTTTCTTTCATTTGAGAAGTTGAAGCGATACATTCGAAATGTAAGTATTAGAAAAATAATCCAAAATGACTTCCTTTAACGTTAAACTTTTATAAAATTCGGTAAAGGATATTGAACAGTTGATTTCAATTTAAATGAGTAAGTAATAGTTTGGTAACTCATTTGGTGTAATCAAAATAACAGACATTCCGTGCGATAACATTTCATTGTATTTGATGACAGCCTTATCAGGGTGTCATTTGTCATACTTGGTAACCTTTACGTCTGATGGTTTCACATGTTTCTGTACCATGGCTGTTTTCGGCCGTTATTTTGGTACAGAAAGATACAAAGGCAACGGGTTGATTTTATTTCTGCTT